TCATAGTGTCCCTCTGGGTCAGTGCTCCTCATAGTGGTCCCTCTGTCAGTGCTTCAGTGCTCCTCATAGTGTCCCTTGCAGGTCAGTGCTCCTCATAGTGTCCCTCTGCCAGGTCAGCGCTCCTCATAGTGTCCCTCTGCAGGTCAGTCGCTCCTCTATAGTGTCTCCCTGGGGTCAGTGCTCCTCATAGTGTCCCTCTGCAGGTCAGTGCTCCTCATAGTGTCCCTTGCAGGTCAGTGCTCCTCATAGTGTCCCTCTGCTGGTCAGTGCTCCTCATAGTGTCCCTCTGAAGGTCAGTGCTCCTCATAGTGTCCCTCTGCAGGTCAGTGCTCCTCATAGTGTCCCTCTGCAGGATCAGTGCTCCCTCTTAGTGTCTCCCTGGGGTCAGCGCTCCTCCTAGTGGTCCCTCTGGAGGTCAGTTGCTCCTCATAGTGTCCCTCTGCAGGTCAGTGCTCCTCATAGTGTCCCTCTGCAGGTCAGCGTTCCTCATAGTGTCCCTCTGCAGGTCAGTGCACCTCATAGTGTCCTCTGCAGGTCAGTGCTCCTCATAGTGTCCCTCTGGAGGTCAGTGCTCCCTTAGTGTCTCCCTGGGTCAGCGCTATGCTAGTGTCCCTCTGGCCCCGTCACTGCCTCCCTCAATGTTCCCGTATGCAGGTATGCGGGGTCAGTTGGCCCCGCACTGTCCCTCTGCAGAATGTTCCCATGAGTGTCCCGGCCCCGTCACTGCCTCCTCATGTTCCCGTATGCGGTCAGTGTGTCCCGGCCCCTGCACTGCTCCTCGGAAGTGTCCCGTATGCTTTGTCAGTGCTCCTCATAGTGTCCCTCTGTTGCACTAGAGCGGTGGTCCTCCTAGTGTCCCTCGGTCATGGTCCGTATGCGGTGTCCGCCCCGCACTGCTCCTCATAATGTTCCGTATGCGGTGTCCCGGCCCCGCACTGCCTCCCTCGGAATGTTCCCGTATGCGTGTCTCCCTGGCCCCGCACTGCCTCGCTCGGAATGTGGACCGTATGCGGTGTCCCGGTTGCCCGCACTGCCTCCCTCGGAATGTTCCCGTATGCGGATGTGTCCCGCAATGTTCTGGATGTGGCTCCATTTCAGCACTGTTCCTCCTCCATGTCCTGGAAGTTCCTGGCCCCGCGACTGTATGTTCCCGTATGCGGTGTCCCGGCCCCGCACTGCCTCGCTCGGAATGTTCCCGTATGCGGTGTCCCGGCCCCGCACTGCCTCCCTCGGAATGTTCCCGTATGCGGTGTCCCGGCCCCGCACTGCCTCGCTCGGAATGTTCCCGTATGCGGTGTCCCGGCCCCGCACTGCCTCCCTCGGAATGTTCCCGTATGCGGTGTCCCGGCCCCGCACTGCCTCCCTCGGAATGTTCCCGTATGCGGTGTCCCGGCCCCGCACTGCCTCCCTCGGAAATGTTCCCGTATGCGGTGTCCCGGCCCCCGCACTGCCTCCTCGGAATGTTCCCGTATGCGGTGTCCCGGCCCCGCACTGCCTCCCTCGGAATGTTCCCGTATGCGGTGTCCCGGCCCCGCACTGCCTCCCTCGGAATGTTCCCGTATGCGGTGTCCCGGCCCCGCACTGCCTCCCTCGGAATGTTCCCGTATGCGGTGTCCCGGGACCCCGCACTGCCTCCCTCGGAATGTTCCCGTATGCGGTGTCCCGGCCCCGCACTGCCTCCCTCGGAATGTTCCCGTATGCAGTGTCCCGGCCCCGCACTGCCTCCTCGGAATGTTCCCGTATGCAGTGTCCCGGCCCCGCACTCCCCCTCGGAATGTTCCCGTATGCGGTGTCCCGGGCCCCGCACTGCCTCCCTCGGAATGTTCCTGTATGCGGTGTCCCGGCCCCGCACTGCCTCCCTCGGAATGTTCCCGTATGCAGTGTCCCGGCCCCGCACTGCCCCGCTCGGAATGTTCCTCTTCCAATGGTCAGAGACATGATGGAGTCCAAGGTCTGCGAGGAATCCACACAATGTGCTCTGCCAAGGAGGGTCAATGGAGGCGTCTGAGATGGAACCCGCATCGGCTCTCGTCCTTCTGTCCCATTGGGGGGATTCTTCACTTTCTGCCTCGTATACAAAACAGGAAATACGAGGAAATCTCCCCAAAGTGATGGAAATCCCCTCTTCGCTTTCACTGGACAGTGCAGATCTCAGGCACCCGGGAGGCAGCGGTGACCCCGGGAGGAAACGGTGACCCCGGAGGAAACGGTGACCCCGGGAGGCAGCGGTGACCCCAGAGGAAACAGTGACCCCGGGAGGCAGCGGTGACCCCGCAGGAAACAGTGACCCCGGGAGGAAACAGTGACCCCGGGAGGCAGCGGTGACCCCAGAGGAAACAGTGACCCCGGGAGGCAGCGGTGACCCCGCAGGAAACAGTGACCCCGGGAGGCAGCGGTGACCCCGGAGGAAAAACAGTGACCCCGGAGGAAACAGTGACCCCGGAGGAAACAGTGACCCCGGGAGGAAACGGTGACCCCGGGAGGAAACGGTGATCCCGGGAGGCAGCGGTGACCCCGGGAGGAAACGGTGACCCCGGGAGGAAACGGTGATCCCGGGAGGCAGCGGTGACCCCGGGAGGAAACGGTGACCCCGGGAGGCAACAGTGACCCGGGAGGCAAAACAGTGACCCCGGGAGGAAACGGTGACCCCGGAGACCCCGGAGGAAACGGTGACCCCGGGAGGAAACGGTGACCCCGGAAGGAAAACGGTGGCCCCGGGAGGCAGCGGTGACCCCGGAGTAACGGGCACAGTGACAGTGACCCCGGGAGGCAGCGGTGGCCCCAGAGGAAACAGTGACCCCGGGAGGCAGCGGTGACCCCGGAGGAAACAGTGACCCCGGGAGGCAGCGGTGACCCCGGAGGAAACAGTGACCCCGGGAGGCAGCGGTGACCCCGGAGGAAACAGTGACCCCGGGAGGCAGCGGTGACCCCGGAGGAAACAGTGACCCCAGGAGGCAGCAGTGACCCCAGAGGAAACAGTGACCCCGGGAGGCAACGGTGACCCCGGAGGAAACGGTGACCCCGGGAGGCAGCGGTGACCCCGGGAGGAAACAGTGACCTCGGGAGGCAACGGTGACCCCGGAGGAAACGGTGACCCCAGAGGTGTTCAGGGCCGTGCCCACAAATGGTTGTCACATTGAGAGAAGCCGCTGTGGCCGTGCAGCTGCTGCATCCCAACTGACTTCAGGGGGACTGCCTGTGCAGGGATGCAATGCCGTGTCACCACTGCCACGATGACCCTCCCACAGGCCACACATTCATACACCCCATGTGAACGAGGCCTACAACTCACCACACACGGTACAATCGGATTTCAGATCTCCTTCAGATCTACCTCCAAGTTTGCAGTGCAGGAGCCGGCCTGATTGGATAGACTAGGTAGGTCCTCATATTACATAGTTTGATCAACCGAATTGTATGGCCAGATTGTAACGTGTGGTGACCCTAAAAGACATCAGAAGGACCTGGGAAGTGGCCAATCAAGGTCAAAGCAGAAGTGTGTGTGTGGGGGGGGGGGGGGGGGGGACTGGATATTCTGCTGAGCACATAAGTGGCCTCTGAAAATCCTTCTAGGACACGTGAAGAGCCTCAAGAATCTGTGTAACCTCCATTCCTTCTCTTTCAGGAATCAGCACCCCTCCATGACACCAACTGTACGGCATCGGGGCAAATGCTGGAGCAGAGCGACCGGACCGTTCATCGGTGTCTAAGGAGAAATAAAGTCCTACCTGGCCTGTTCTGGAGCCATCACCCCCGGAGTTCTTCCTGTACTTCAGAGCCATCAAACCCGGAGTTCCTTCTGTTCTGGAGCCATCTCCTCGGAGTTCCTTCTGTTCCTCAGAGCCATCACCCCCCGGAGTTCCATCTGTTCTGGAGCCATCACCCCGGAGTTCCTTCTGTTCTGGAGCCATCACCCCGGAGTTCCTTCTGTTCTGGAGCCATCACCCCGGAGTTCCTTCTGTTCTGGAGCCATCACCCCCGGAGTTCCTTCTGTTTCTGGAGCCATCTCCCTCGGAGTTCCTTCTGTTCTTCAGAGCCATCACCCCGGAGTTCCTTCTGTTCTTCAGAGCCATCACCCCAGAGTTCCTTCTGTTCTTCAGAGCCATCACCCCGGAGTTCTTCCTGTACTTCAGAGCCATCAAACCCGGAGTTCCTTCTGTTCTGGAGCCATCTCACCTCGGAGTTCCTTCTGTTCCTCAGAGCCATCACCCCGGAGTTCCTTCTGTTCTGGAGCCATCACCCCCGGAGTTCCTTCTGTTCTGGAGCCATCTCCTCGGAGTTCCTTCTGTTCTGGAGCCATCACCCCGGAGTTCCTTCTGTTCTGGAGCCATCACCCCGGAGTTCCTTCTGTTCTGGAGCCATCACCCCGGAGTTCCTTCTGTTCTGGAGCCATCTCCTCGGAGTTCCTTCTGTTCTGGAGCCATCTCCTCGGAGTTCCTTCTGTTCTTCAGAGCCATCACCCCCAGAGTTCCTTCTGTTCTTCAGAGCCATCACCCCGGAGTTCCATCTGTTCTTCAGAGCCATCACCCCAGAGTTCCTCCTGTTCTGGAGCCATCACCCCGGAGTTCCTTCTGTTCTTCAGAGCCATCACCCCAGAGTTCCTTCTGTTCTGGAGCCATCACCCCGGAGTTCCTTCTGTTCTTCAGAGCCATCAATCCCTCACAGTCCCTTCAGAGCCATCACCCCGGAGTTCCATCTGTTCCTCAGAGCCTTCACCCCGGAGTTCCTTCTGTTCCTCAGAGCCATCACCCCGGAGTTCCATCTGTTCCTCAGAGCCTTCACCCCGGAGTTCCTTCTGTTCCTCAGAGCCATCACCCCGGAGTTCCTTCTGTTCCTCAGAGCCATCACCCCGGAGTTCCTCCTGATCCTCAGAGCCTTCACCCCTCAGAGTCTTTGCTGACCTTTTGGCCCAGACTTTCTGGTAGCCGCCATCAGTAGTCATGGCTCTATGCCTTACCCAGGTATTTAATAAAGACAGAACATTTCGTCCCAGAAAGAAGTTTGAACCCGGAACTCAACGCTTTGAACTGTATAAAAAGGCTCAGGCCTCCCTGAAGTCAGGCCTTGACCTAAAGACGGTGGTTCAGCTCCCCCCCCTGGCGAGAGCATCAATGACTGGATTGCTGTTCACGTGGTGGACTTTTTCAATAGGATAAACCTGATCTATGGGACCATGTCTGAGTTCTGCACTGAACGGAGCTGCCCGGTCATGTCTGGGGGTCTCCGATACGAATACAGGTGGCAGGATGAGCACAAATATAAGAAGCCCACCAAGCTGTCCGCTCCTCTGTACATGAACACGCTGATGGAGTGGATCGAAACTCTGATCAACAATGAGGACATATTTCCAACTAGAACAGGTAGGTGGTGATTGGGTGACTGACAAATATTGGGCTGTACGGGGGTCACTCCTGCGGACCCTCCGGGAAGGGAATTCTGTGCTGAGAACGCCCGACCTTCATGTATGAAGAATCACAGATCCCAACATACAAACGTTTACCATCCACGTCCCACCAGACTACATCAGTCACGGCTTGGACAGCACTGACCTGGCCACATAGGAAGACCTCTCAGAGTAGGTTCCCCGAGCTGCCAGCGAGGCCACTGATCCCGATTCTACTGCTCTGCAAAAGACGGGAATCCCTCTATCTCCATCCTTCTCCACCCATCCCTCCTTCCTTGTCTCCATCCATCATCCCTCCATCCATCCATCTCCATCCATCCATCCTTGTCTCCATCCATCATCCCTCTATCTCTATCCATCTCCATCCATCCATCCATGTCTCCATCCATCCCTCCATATGTCCATCCATCCTTGTCTCCATCCATCATCCCTCCATCCATCCATCCATCCATCCTTGTCTCCATCCATCATCCCTCCATCCATCCATCCATCCTTGTCTCCATCCATCATCCCTCCATCCATCCATCCTTGTCTCCATCCATCATCCCTCCATATGTCCATCCATCCTTGTCTCCATCCATCATCCCTCCATCCATCCATCCATGTCTCCATCCATCATCCCTCCATATGTCCATCCATCCTTGTCTCCATCCATCATCCCTCCATCCATGTCTCCATCCATCATCCCTCTATATGTCCATCCATCCATGTCTCCATCCATCCATCCATGTCTCCATCCATGTCTCCATCCATCCCTTCCATGTCTCCATCCATCCTTCCATGTCTCCATTCATCATCCCTCTATATGTCCATCCATCCATGTCTCCATCCATGTCTCCATCCATCCATCCATCCATGTCTCCATCCATCCATCCATGTCTCCATCCATCCTTCCATGTCTCCATCCATCCATCCATGTCTCCATCCATCCATCCATGTCTCCATCCATCCTTCCATGTCTCCATCCATCCATCCATGTCCCACCAGACTACATCAGTCACAGCTTGGACAGCACTGACCTGGCCACATAGGAAGACCTCTCAGAGTAGGTTCCCGGTGCTGCCAGCGAGGCCACTGATCCCGATTCTACTGCTCTGCAAAAGACGGGAATGATTGATGAAAACGAGCAAAGAAAGTCAACCTCAACCTAACCAATCAGATCCCACCTTTCCCCTCTCTCCATGCGGCAAAGAATCATAGAAGCTGCTCACTGAAGTCCTCAGAAGATCAGAGTGAGCAGAGTCCACGTTGTACCACGTCCTCTGATGGGAGCCAGCCAAGAGGGAAGCCTCTGCTTTGTCCTGTAGAGGATGACGGCTCTAAAAACTGCCATCTGCCCACAAAGTGAGAGGTCCTCTTTATGCCACCCCTCCTCAGAAGCCTATACTTACCTCCCCCCGACACTCCTATCAGCCCCTGTAGGTGAGCAGAGGAAACCCTGTCTAAAGTGGAACTCAGAGCAAACTCCCCCATCCATCCATCCCTCTATATTACCGTCCATCTATCCATCCCTCCATGTCTCTCTTTGCCATCCATGTCTCCATCCATCCCTCTATATCTCCATCCATCATCCATGCCTCTATATCCATGTCTCCATCCATATCCATCTCCATCCATCCATCCATTACCGTCCATCTATATCTCCATCCATCCCTCTATATCTCCATCCATCCCTCTATATTACCACCCATCTATCCATCTCCATCCATCCATCCCTCCATGCATGCATCTCTCTGCCCCATCCATGTCTCCATCCATCATCCCTCTATCTCCATCCATCCCTCTATATCTCCATCCATCTATCCATCTCCATCCATCCATCCCTCTATATCTCCATCCATCTATCCATCTCCATCCATCCCTCTATATCTCCATCCATCTATCCATCTCCATCCATCCCTCCATATCTCTTTGCCATCCATGTCTCCATCCATCTCCACTCCATCCATCCATCATCCCTCTATTTTACCGTCCATCCTATCCATCTCCATCCATCCATCCCTCTATATCTCCATCCATCATCCCTCTATATTACCGTCCATCTATCCATCTCCATCCATCCATCCCTCTATCTCTATCCATTCTCCATCCATCCCTCTATATCTACCATCCATCCCTCTATCCATCTCCATCCATCCATCCCTCTATGTCTATCCATCCCCATCCATCTCCATCCATCCATCATCCCTCTATATCTCCATCCTTCCATGTCCTCATCCATGTTCCATCCCCATCCATCCATCCATCTCATCCATCCATCATCCCTCTATATATCTCCATCCTTCCATGTCTCCATCCATCCATCCTTCCATGTCCCCATCCATCCATCCATCCATCTCTCCATCCATCCATCATCCCTCTATATCTCCATCCTTCCATGTCTCCATCCATCCATCCATCTATGTCCCCATCCATCCATCCATGTCCCCATCCATCCTTCCATGTCTCCATCCCTCCCTCCATGTCTCCATCCATCCTTCCATGTCTCCATCCCTCCATGTCTCCATCCATCCCTCCATGTCCCCATCCATGTCTCCATCCATCCCTCCATGTCTCCATCCATCCATCCCTCCATGTCTCCATCCATCCCTCCATGTCTCCATCCATCCATCCATCCATGCCTCTATGATTTATTCTGCTGATAAATCACATTGAAAAACATCTCCCTACAATTCCTTGAAGTGGCCGTCATGAGTAGGAGCAGATGAATCAAGTAGTATTTACTTCCTGGAATCCATCTTCCCTTAGCTCAGGCATGCAGACAGGAGGGTGTGCTTAGCTGAGAACCCCTCCCCCCTCCTGAAGACTCCTGGGATGTAGGACACCATTTTGGCCGGTAATTCTTCCCCCCCTTCCTCTCCATGTGCTGATGATGGCAGCAGGAGAATCGCAGAGCTCATAGTGAGGGGGGGGGGGGGAGTGACGCTTTACGCTGCAAATTGCTGTAGTTGGAGCTTAGAGGGCTTGAAGACGTTCTCCCTGCCTCCATGTGACGGCTCCGGACCAATCACCAGCCTTGTGGTGTGGGGGAAGGGGAGTAAGTCACATGCTCTTCCATACCCCCGGAAGTACCGAACATTTTCTTCACCTCCTACAGCTAAGCAGGAAGGGGAGGGAAGATGAGGATGTCCTGCTGGGGAGGGCACTGAGGGGGCACTGGGGGGGGGGCACTGGGGGGGGCACTGAGGGGGGCACTGGGGGGGCACTGCGGAGGGCACTGAGGCTGGCTGTAGAGGCGTAGTTTATAAGTGGATGGAGGAATCCCCCCCCCTCTCCAGGACACTGTATTCTCACAGGGGCCACATTCCATTCCGGCACTGTATTTTCACAGGGGCCACATTCCATTCCGGCACTGTATTCTCACAGGGGCCACATTCCATTCCGGCACTGTATTCTCACAGGGGCCACATTCCATTCCGGCACTGTATTCTCACAGGGGCCACATTCCATTCCGGCACTGTATTCTCACAGGGGCCACCATTCGGACATTGTACTCTCCAGGGGCCACACATTCCATTCGGACACTGTACTCTCACAGGGGCCACATTCCATTCGGACATTGTACTCTCACAGGGGCCACATTCCATTCGGACACTGTACTCTCACAGGGGCCACATTCCATTCGGACACTGTACTCTCACAGGGGCCACATTCCATTCGGACATTGTACTCTCACAGGGGCCACATTCCATTCGGACACTGTACTCTCACAGGGGCCACATTCCATTCGGACACTTGTACTTTCACAGGGGCCAGATTCCATTCGGGCACTGTACTCTCACAGGGGCCACATTCCATTTGGACACTGTACTTTCACAGGGGCCAGATTCCATTCGGGCATTGTATTCTCACAGGGGCCACATTCCATCCATTACTCTCATAGGGGCGACATTGTATTCTCACAGGGGCCACATTCCATTCGGACATTGTACTCTCACAGGGGCCACATTCCATTCGGACATTGTACTCTCACAGGGGCCACATTCCATTCGGACATTGTACTCTCACAGGGGCCACATTCCACTCTGCCTAAGGCCACTTTTCTTTGACCTGCAGCCCATCAGCCTATTCATAAGGCGGCCATGATGGTACAGCAGAGTACAGCCTGAGCACACTGACAGCATTATTATGAGGATCAGCCAGAACAACCAATCAGAACCATCATGTGCAGGTCCTGATTGAGGCCAGACATTCAAAGGTGAAGGGGCCCCGTCCCTCCTGTGGTGCACTTCATAGAAGGGACTTTTGTGTGTAAGATTAGAGCGTATTGAGGGTCCCCATCCATCATCGGAGGGGACATTGCACCTCCTCTCACAGGGAGCACCATCATCGTCATCATCATCCTTTCACCAACCGAGCCGGCATTGACATGGACAGTCACTCGACACCTTCCATAGACAGTTCTGTCTCCTCAGATGTACTCTTGGCTCTCGCTGGTCCATTATAAGGGCCCCAATACAGCCACAAATCTGCATTGTTCACACATGGAGAACATCAGAATACGACATTTGTGCAGCAGAAGTCTTCTTCTATGAGGACTCATTGGAGGACAATTCTACAACTGCATCTAATTAATGGATTTACAGCTCAGTAAGGAATGAGTTCCATCTATGGAATCCGAGACAATCCCAGAGAGCCGAGAACTTTCCATCTCTGGGCAGATTTCCTACCACTGGCAATGACAGTCAGGACATATCACCCCCCCCCCCCATCCCCATCCCCCCCAGATCTGCTATGGTGGGGCTCTGAGAGGAACCTGGGAAGTGTAACCCCAAGTGAACTAGGTGGGGTGATGGGACGGCGTAGATGTTCCTACACACTGAACCAGGTGGGGTGATGGGACGGCGTAGATGTTCCTACACACTGAACCAGGTGGGGTGATGGGACGGCGTAGATGTTCCTACACACTGAACCAGGTGGGGTGATGGGACGGCGGCGTAGATGTTCCTACACACT